TTGCAAATCATGGTCGGTGCTGTCACGAGATACCACTACTGACCCATATATAAGGACCCCATTTGTTTCCTGGTTCCTTCTACATTAAACTTTAGGGCTGTTGTATCTAGCAGACAGCAATTCCTGCAGTTGAAGATTGATATTTCAACTATCGACCATGGCCATGATCATTCTCTAGTTAGCTTTCTGGGGCATGCACTCCTTCGCCATCCGAAATTGTCTCAGCATTTCCACATGTAGGCACCTGAGCATTCAGTGACTTAGCACAACTCCAAGGTTGTAAAAAGTTGAAGATTAAGTTTCCAATTTCCACGGTCACTTCATCATGTTTCAAATTCTAAACAATTGCAAACTGTATTTTGAAGATTAAGACAAAACACCGTGTCCTGCGGCTCATCAAGGACTTGATTATCAGCGCAAAGAAGATCAATGTGGTCCTGGTTGTGCCAGGGCAGCACGGGGAAAATGGCCTTTGATAAGCACAAGGTTTGAATCAACAAAACTAAGGGTTGTTTTGTCTAAAAAACTTGAACCCTATTGAACCCTGTTGGGTCACCATTTTGACCATCAAGTTTGTAAACTTTGGTTGATCATCATTCGATTTTTAAAACAGGTGTCCTGAGTAAATTGCTGGATTCTCCATTTACCAACATATGCATTGGATAAATTAATGCTGAAAATCACCCAACAAACAGAACTATGATGACGCCTGTCCTCATTTATCTCCATGGGGATAGTGTCGAGAAGATCCACCGACGACATTGTGGGCCGGGCAGCAGCTCCAAGTTTTCGTTTTCGGGCCAGCTTCAACAGGTGATGTAAGACCCTTGTTTCATGCCCATCATCAGTGGCTGGACCCAGATCAAATTTTTTTCGGAGTCGACGGCAAACCTGTTCAGCCAATTTTTTGGTTAACACCCGACCCTGGCCTACAAGGGTGGATGCCCAACCAGTGAACAAGTTCCTCACACATTTTCTCTTCAAAGAACCAACTGGCAACAATTTGTTGGTAGTGGTCATCCGCTCTAGGTGCTGCTTTCCACTCAATCTGGATGAAAGTTTTTTGGCAATCATCCCAACATGACTCTTTCTTGCCAGTTTCTGCTGGGTACGCCGGCATTGCGACGGCATGGCGCCGTAATGATGCCAATATATTATTTACAGGTTTGTGTATGTTTTGGTGAAAACAAAAACACACATCTATAAATTCATCCCTTTGTTGAAAAATATGATGTTGAGATTGGTTTTGGAAGTTTCAAAATCAAAAGAATATTGCGCCTTGACATCTCTAGCTTGAGCTTCTAAACTGAGGGTTTTTTTTGGTGATACCCTGCATGCATAGCATGCCCCCATCACTTCCCAACTGGCCCCATTTAAACTGGCCAGCCTGGCCTGAGGTGCACTGGCGCCGTTTGGCGGGCTCGGCACTGCTATGTCCAGATCATGGGATTCGGAAAAAATGCTTACAGTGTGGTGGTGGGAAGTTGCATCAACCCATTTCTGGTTGGAACTAAACTTAACAAATAATAAACTGGTGGATTGAAACCTTGGAGAATTGAAATTTTGTTGATGTTTAAAACATGTTGTCCCTTAATAAGGGCCTGGCGGCGGGGACAAGGACCGGTGCTTGGATCAAGATACCCCTGTTTTTTTTAATGGTGTAGTCATGTATATAGATTGTATAGTTACTCTTGTCAGTAAAAACCAAGTATTCAATAAGTATATGCATGTTTTTGTGTGTCTGGGTGAAATAATGCTCTCTCTATATATATATATATGATATTATATATATATACATATATATATATATATATTTACACATATCGATATATGCGCACATATATTTGTAGGAAGGGACCCCCATATATATATATTTATTTATATATTTATATTATTTATATTTATTTGTTGATATTTATATATTTATAGGACCACAGATTGATATAGGGGGTATATTATACACAAATATCCTTAGAATATATTGGGGGTCCCTTTGTTTTTTTCTTTCCTCTTCGCGAGCCTAGCAAGGCAGTGTCAGTTAATGGCAAACAAAGGGTTGCAAGCCAAAAAAAGAGATAAACGCACTCTTGAAGGAACAAAGGTTTCCTATACAGCATGGCGAACGCCTTGACACAAGCAACCACAGCAAAAAAAGTACCAGTTCAGGGTTAAAATGTCTCTAGCACTGCTGCGTGCAGTTACATGATACGTCCAGAGCCAGGGGCATGGACCTATGTGGCCGGTCAAGGGTCCTATGTGACATTGGCTGTTCAAGGGACTATGTGGACGGTCAACCTGTGGTGGTCAGTGGAATCGATAGGATGATGATCGATCGTGGCGTAGCCGAGACTGGCATCAGGACAATTATTCTCCTCGACAGCAAGATTCCACCTTTGAAGTCAATCCAGTATTTGCGGCAATGAATTACCGTCATCCTTCAGATCTAGATCTGATGAATATCATCTATATAGATCTTCCTCGCAATCCTCCCTTGCACCGGACAGTTCTATACGGCTTGGAGTCAAATGCAAGGAAATGCGGGACTCCTAGCGGAACAGGTTATACAGTGGCTTCGTTTGCCAGGAATGATCTCGAAGAATGGTCCCTCCGATCTCGAAGCACAGGCCGTTACATTGGAATGGTGTTGTCCAGAAGTATTGCAGAAGGCGTTCTATGTTCCAGGATTCTGCGCCACCTTCGTAGCACATCACCGTCAGTGTAAAGAAGTCGGCAGTGTATTCTGGATTTTCAAAACATAGTCTCGCTATGAAAAACAAAGCTTTTCAAAATTATGATTCAGTTTCCATTGTTCAGCTATCTTTCGAATGTGGTACCTTCACCACCGTTGACGGCATTTACAAACAAATCCTGGGCACATGCATGGGAAACCAGACTAGCCCCATTCGCTCAGAGATTGCTGTATCTGCTATTGAGAAATCTTGGCATCGCTCTGTCCGCAATATGTTGTCATGTTTTCAATTGCTGGAGGGATATAGAGAATCATGTCATACTCATGCCAGACAATACGAAGAAAACGCCGGCTGTCCAGATGCTACTGCGAGATGATTTTTACATCCCAGCGGTAGAGCTGGAGATTGTCAATGACCACCATTTCCTGGGTTTTGACGTTTTGCCAAATCAAAGACGTATGACATTTATTTTTATATATTATGCATGATTACAGCCACAATACAATGGGCCGATTCGACATCCCTACGGCGCTTGTTATCCGAAATTGCTTTATTCGGGCCTACGTAGCAGAATCGCGCTGATTTTCGCGTATTCCTTTCCATGTGCAGAACTTGAACCACAAGCTTGGCGTCCTTGCGGATTCTTCATCGACAACGGCTATGAACAAAGTCAGGTCCCGAATCATTGGAACAGGTCAAACTAAAGATGCGCCGACAAATTTGTCATCAGTGTAGTGCAGTATAGCATCATGCTGGACCATGCGCGTATCGCTGAGTAAAAAGCAGGTGGGTTATTTGACATGGTTGCCTGCATGTAAGCTTCCACACCAAGTAACTAGTGCATTCCCGATTTCTTGCCTTCCCTGTTGTCCTCTCTCTTTTGAATGTTCGACCCCGCTTGAGGGGATACTGTGTGTGTCAACTCCTGTGCTCTAAGGACTTCGCAAGCGCCAATTTCCTTCGTTTCCGTTATTCCGGCTGGCGTTTTCCAACTACCATCCAGCATGCTATTAGAACAGACAATAGAATTTGCACGACGGCAATCAGAAAAGAAGACGGCGAAAGTATCAAAGAGAATGATGTTCTCAGAGACACATGTTTTGCCCATGACGGTTTGCATTTCAGGGTTGCGCATTTCCAAGAAATGGGTTCAGTTTTCAATAATACATGCGTATTCAGCATGTATACATGTAATGTAGATCATGAGAGGAAGAGGATGAGCGCGGAGAAGCGTACGATTTTGTGCATTGTGTTTCCCGTGAAGAAGTCCGAAAGATGACGACTTCAGAGATACTTCCGGAGTTCCCACGCAGCGATTTTAGCTAGGATCTTTTTCAATTTTCGAGCATGCAGGGGGTGCCAGGGATCATTGCAAGTCTGGCACTAACAAAGACGCTTGCTTTGATCTGTGACATCAGAAAGGGACGCCTTTCTGACGTACCTGCTCATTTGAAACTGTCAATCAAGCTGTTGCAGTCAGGCTGTTGAGGTAGATCAGGTCAGCTGCACTTGTTCGTGTCCCTGACCGCGAAGGCGACTTAGCAATACAGGTCAGCACATGCAGTGTGTATTTCCGGGTGTTGAACCTTACTTGGTCTCACCGCAATCTTTTTCATGAAGTGCAGCAACGTTTTTTCAAGGAAGTAAGTATCAAGCAGAAGAACAAGCAAACAGAGGAACTGCTGAAGCCTGTCATTTTTACAGCTCAATTTGCGACCCTGATCCTTCATGGCTACCAGTGTGTGTCTGTGTGTGTGTTTTTTAACCACAAATTTCATCGCAAGAATTTTTGGCATGATGATGCCCAAATTGATAAACTTATCTTCAACCCCCAGATGTTTTGAAGGGTTCATCGCATGTTCATAGCTATTCATATGTTTTTTTTGCCTGGAAAACCTGAACGTTGGGACATTTTTGCAGGAAAGCCGTGGAATGGTTGGTAAAAGACATGATTTCTCGGATATTTTCCCAAAAAAACAAAATCTATTGATATTCATATGCTATTCATCACTCAAGATATTAGGTATTTTGTGGGTATATCCGAATATCCCCTGAAATCTAGCCCTAAAATTTACGCCTGATATCTGGCAGGTACCACGATTTCGGTACCTGAAATGGCCATTGAAGATTTTTTACTATATAAACAAAACATGATTTCCCATAAGGTTTTCCCCCAAAAAAACAATCCATTTTTTTCCTTGCCATTGATGTCAGGAAGATGTACTATTATATCAACAAAACCTGATTTCCCATTGATTTTCCCCCAACAAAAACCATCATCCATCATCCCATGTTTTCTTGCCATGTCAGGAGCTGCAGGCGGCTGGTTATGAGGTGCAGCTGCATACCTTCAATGCCCGGAACCTCACCGCCCAGTCGCGGAAGCGGGTCTTCTTCTTCGGCCTCCGCGAGGGCGTGTCCGGTTTTGCAGGCTTTCGGAGGCCCTGGGTGCCCGAGTTGCAGCTGAGGGCGCGCGATGTCTTGGAAAATGAGGAGGAGTTGATGCTGGGCTCAGTTGGATGGGGATATCTTTCGGGGAGAAGCAGCTAGAAATTGAGGATGTGCTGAGTTGGTGAGTATTGATTCCCTATGAAGGATGGTGATTTTAATGGGAAATCATTGAAATCATCTATGGATAAATGGTGGATTTTACATGGCTGAATTTCCAATTGCCGAGTTTGGGGTCATTTTCTGGCATTTTCCCAAAGGAAAATTTACTTTCGCAAAGGGAATCTTTTTGGGGAGTTTGCCTTTAGCAGCTCCCAGGATGCAGGAAACAGACGGGGAGGATATTTATGGCTTGAGTGATGAGCATTTCAGGAGCTTGAAGGAATCGAAGAAATGGGCCAAGAGAGGTGGAATGACGGACACTTTGGTCTGGGAAGACAAGTTGTGTAACACCTTGGTGTCGCACTATGGCACCAGTTTGGGCAAGGGCAATTCTCAGCTGGTAGCCAGGCAGGCGCCGCTGAATCCCAGAAGATTTACACCCCGGGAGTGTGCCAGGTTGATGGGTTTTCCCGATAGCTATCGGCTGACGGAGAGGCCCAAAGAGAATCCCAGCATGTGGTTTTTTGGCAGTTTTCTGGTCAACTCTTTTGCAAGGTTTTTTTTGTCTGAAATGAGTTGAAGGAGTGTGGCCTCAAAAGACAAGACATGACATGAATAATCATGACCGTGACTGAATTCATTCTGTTGGTGCTTGCATTTTCAACATATTCCCAAAAGACCGCCATCATTGCCATCAAGAAGTCACAATAGTCAAAACTATTTTCAAAACAAGCGCCATTAAACAACTTTCCAGCGATTCCAATCAAACAGCCATAAAAAATATATAAAATATAAAAAACAACATAACTTCACCAATATATCAAGTTCAAAGCCAATTTCAACATATTTCAACTGATCTTCAGAGATCTTCAATGGTCGGGCCTTACATCCATGTCACTTTTTACGAATCCATCCTCCAAAAACAGCACCATCACAAAAAAGAACTATCCAACATCAAAAAACATCATTCATTCCAACCCATCATCCCTTCCGAAAAATCATCCCAAACTTCATCAAATTTCATCAACTTTTCCACCTCCCAAACATTTCAAATGTCCCAAACTTCCCAAACATCCCACTTTCATCCAAGTTTCATGAAATTTCCCATCAGAGGTTCCGGGCCTTGTACAAGATGTTTGGCAACAGCGTGAGTCCCCCACTGGTGGCTGCCCTCTCCGACGTCCTCCTGGAGCCCCTGGGGCTCACCAGCCGCGGCCAAAGCGGCCAAAGCGCCTCGCTGCGGCTGGCGCTGGGCGCAGTGGCGCCACAAAGGCGACAGCAGCTGCGGCAGCAGCTGCATGGATCGTGGCAGATGAAGGGCTGAAAAAGAAACCAAGGGGCTTGGGAAAATCATGGGAAAATCATGGGAAAACATTGAAAAATACTGGTTGGTGGTTTCAAACATTTTTTATGTTCAATAATATATGGGATAATCCATCCCATTGACTTTCATATTTTTCGAGATGGTTATTGCACCACCAACCAGAATATGTCTGGGAAGTGTGGGAAATCTCCTTGGAAGGGTTGGAGGAAATCATGGATGATGGAGTTGTCAGCACGGAAATCTGATGGAAACACACCATATATGGAGCTGGGAAGTTCTGGGGAGGTGACCAATTGGGGGAGCATCGCATTTTCTGATGATAAGCGTCAAGTGGGAATGGTTGATGGTTGGCTTTGCCATGAAAGTTTAATGACAAAATCAGCTTGTGAGTCCCGACGTTTATTTTCGGGATTTCCCATGAATAATAGCCATGAATTCTCAGTAATACCCATTAATGGGATAGGACCACATGATTCACATAATAATAGATGATATTAATCCCATGTTATTATCATTATCCAATGACTCATGATCCTCATGAATTAGCAACAATTTATAACTAATTGTCAACAAACATCATATAATCCCATAATGGAGAGTTACACCTTCTGGTAATTTGTTACATCCTTCTGAAAAACACCAAACCTTTTTATTTCCAGTGGGAAACTCATCAAAAACCATCCAAAAGCCTCATGTTGTCAGGGTCTCCCAGTAGCGAGGCAAACCTTCCAGCGCTTATCCGAAGAGCTCCAGATCTCCTCCAGTGAGGCTCTGCGAATCCGTCATGAAGAAGCGGAGCACCTGGTCACCTCGGGCCGTCCCACGCGGTATGGGGAAAATCAATGGAGGGCATGGCTACAATGTGAGGCCCCCCCGTGATGTTTGTTGGTTTATAAGCCCCAGTAACTATAGTTATAAGTGCCATAAACCATAGTTATTGGAGTTATAAACCAACTTAGCTATCTAGGGGGCCTCACATTGTAGGTTTGATTTTGATAAAGCTTGTGAGGACTCGTGCAGTGAATAGCCCCGAAAAGCACGAGATTTTTCTTGCGAGTCAGAATCCACTTGGCCAGCATTGTGCCAGCAGTTGGGACATTTTCAGGACATTTTCATGGCTCTCAAAACCAAAAAAATTCTCTTCACCCATGGTTCACAATTCTGGTTGCTTCAGATTCCAAGATATTCCAGGTGATTTACGGAAACATATTCCCTTCACGTTTTGGAGTGTGCTGGGCATGGCTGGGCCGTATGCATCGCAGTGTTTGAATCCAGACATGATGGGTCCAGTGAACTGTGCCTGTGACCCTTGTCATTTCCAAGTCTCGGCACATGAACCCAGATGCAGAAGTGTGAAAATCATCCAACCTTTTTCCAATTCCTATCCGTTCTATATACTTAAACAGTACATCATAGAATCGTAGAAATGAATGGGAATGGGAAAATTGATGAAAATTGTATGTAGCAACCCCATTAAATTATTGATAGATTATTGTTTTATCCTTTTGGGGGTTGCTATCTTTTCATTTTTAGACATCCCCATTATTCCCCATCCGTTTCTATATAGATATGCTTATCCATTTCCCAAGGCTAACCTGCTGAAAACAGCATGTTTTTCCCCAAAAAAAATGCCGAAGAAAAATTGAGGATAGAGGCAGCTGGTTATCAAGCGGAGGTGGCAGTATCTTGGACCAAAAAAAGGAGAAAAACTGAGAAAAAAATACTGGGCGAAGTGACATGGGAGCGGTGTTAAAACAAGATTGGTTGATTCTTATAACTTATATGGGGACTATCAATACTAACCAATATCTTGTGGAATATCACAATTTGACCAAAAATGCCTGTTTGGTTGATGTGATGATTGGTTCGGGGATTATACTATATTATACTAACTTTTCCACATTGTCTGGAATATCAGAACCATTGGTTCGGGAAAATCCCGCTCTCAACCAACCAGTATAAAAGGACACATTTCAGGGTTTTGAACACTGCTCATGCTCATGATTTAATGATCTTTGTGCGGAAGATTTGGTGACTGTAATGGTATTAGAATTGAATGATCATCAAAAAAGAGGGGATTTAATCCTCAACAATTGGGGTAGAGAGAGAGAGAGATGATAGTAACTAAGTGGAAACACCCCAAGATGACTTTTTGCAAGGTTGGTAGGTCTATGTCCTCTTACCACTGGTTCATAAATAGATGGGCAACACCAGTGTATCACCAATAGGAACATGCAATAATAACAATTGTTGTAGGTATCTAAGTCTGACCATGAAACCCCTCTGTTGGTCAAACCTCAGCAGGAGCTTCGCAGGGCCCATGAAACATCAGACGCTCCATCCCCGAAGTTTCAGAGATTTTGCCCTGTGATACGTCACCCCACACATTCAAAGCATGTCAAATCCCCTACCATAAATCACCCCACACAATCGCAGTCATGGTTTATCGTCTTCTCCGGGTTTACCCCGAATGTTCACACATGATTCCGGTTCAGATCAGATCCGACAAGAATTGTCTTGATGAAGATGAAAAACTATAGTTGGTGGTTTCAAACATGAATTTTATTTTCCATCATATATGGGATGTCATCCTTCCCATTGACGAACTCCATCATTTTTCAAGATGGTTAAAGTTAAAACCACCAACCAGATCATTTTTGGTTGATTTAATCTATTAACCATGATAAACATTAATATCCATGGACATGGCTTATAATCTTAATATCATTAATATCCATATTGATGAAACTGAAACCCACCATGAGTCGCCAAACATATTCAAACCGAGTTGATCCCATGGAGAATAATGATCATCCCATTACACGGTATTCTATACCCAGATCCATAAACATTAACCATTAATTTAACTATCAATATAAATTAATACAATAAATAGTTATGGTTAAATATGGTCCATAATAGTTATAACTTAAATATGGTCCTTTAATACAACTATATCCATAAAGAGTTAGAATCGTTAATATAAACCCAGATTATGGACCATAGTAGAATAGATAGAATAGTTAATATACACCCAGATCCATACCCAATATGATAACTGGATTTTTTACAGCTTACCACACTAATAATCAGAATAGTTAATATGAACCATTGATAACCACAGAATGATCTGAAGATCTAATGAATCTAATGGTTCACCACAGATTGATAACATTTGATAACCATAGATTGCCTAATATATCCTAATATTAGGGTTCACCCCTAATGATATTAAGCCTCTAAATGCCAGGCATATTAGTCCCATTGGCAAACTGCCAAGTTCATGATTTCAACAAGCTGCGGAGGTCCTGTCTCAGAAGCTGAAAGAACAGCTGGAGACCATGAATGAGCCTTGGCCGGATGGGCCCCACACATTTCGTTAGCAGCAAACAGGATGCTGGATGCCCCAAGATGCGCAAAAACATGCAACAAATGCTGCAAAATCCATCTCAAATCAAACATAATGTTGGATAAATTGGATAAATACGTATATCGGGGTTTTCATGGGTTGAGAAACAGCAGCTGGTTGATTATTACGGCGTATTTTACTACCCTTTATATTACATGAATTACTGTATCAATGATGAGAATCCGCATTTGCCCAACGAGTATTTTGAAGATGTTGGTCCCCATTGCATCCCATAAAATCCCGAGTGATATCCTACACTCGATTTCAATAATTTGACCTTCCATTCGATGACCAACAAGTCAATGGGATTAAGTATTGCTCAATTAATAGGATATCCAGATTATTTCCATTAATCATGATACAATCTGGATATCCTATTAATCTGGATATCCTATTAATCTGGATATCCTATTAATTAATGTAAGTTGATTATCTCAGTTGATATGATTCCAATAATTGTTGCATTGCTCCAACTGCGACGTCGCGGTATGCTGATGGGACTTGGATTCGTGGAATGTCCTGCAGGGTTCAGTTTCAAGGATGTTGTTTCTTCATGTTTCTTCACCATTGGTTGATTGGTGTTTGGGGGCATACCAGTAATACCTTTAGGAGTGAATATGGGGTGAATACATAGTAAAATTAGGCACTACATGGAGGTTTCCATCAATGGGGATACCCCAAAATGGATCGTTTAGAATGAACAAATCCATGAAAATTGCTGATTTTGGAGGATAACCCCGTGGATTGGAAACCTCCATATGGGGATAAAAACCTTTCAGCTGCTTTCCGAACGGCTGAGGCATCTTCGTCCTTGTACCATCCTGATACCTCGGCCATGGGCTTTACCTTGCCAATCCCCGGCTCATAGCGCGCGCGAAACATGGAGCCTGGCTGTTGGGATCGGAGAGCACAAGCGGCAAATCCAAGGAGTCCAGATATGTCCAGATGCCTGGTGTGTTGCGGCAACACACTGCTGATTTATACAGATATATAAGATTCAGATATATAGTTGTAGATAGTCGTTCCGGATGATGTGGACACTGACAATATTTACTGCAATAGTATATGTAATAATAGTACCATGAAACATTCAATCCTGTTGATTAATGTGGTGACCCAACTTGAGAAAAAACCAAACACGTCTTTGTGGCGGTTTGTTCCCGTTCCAGACCGAATGTATCCTGGATTTTTTTTTTTGGTGGGGGGGTGGGAAGTCCATCAAACAAGCCATAAAGCAAACCATAAGGATTCTAGAGTTGACCCAGTTTATCCATTTTGCGGTGCTTTTATGTTTTTTTTTGGGCAACTGTTCAAGCACTGGAAGCAGTTGTAACAAGGTGGGGAACCTGGAATTTTGCTAAGGTTCAAGCGGAATTTGATCAAGCAAAGGGGCCCCAGCACCGGAGTGTGGCTCCAGGGAGATCCAAATTCTATGGTCCATGTTGCGGAGATTTTTCGCGGCTGGTTTGATTTGTTGAAGTGCATAGGCATATAGGCAGCATGTGGGATCAATGATCCATCCTGCTGGTTGAAGTGAAAAATCTGGGCCCATAGTCCATATCCGTTGAGCTCCGTTATGCTCCGTTTAGCAGTTTGCTTTTGGCTTGAACTAAGCCATTTGACATCCTAGAAACACGCCACTTACACAAACGATGAAAGATTTGCAACAACAATGATTTGAAATTTAGTTTCAATGGATTGGTTTGAGGGAAAATTTGCAGTAAAACCCCATATTTAATGGGAAAATCGATGGTTTCCTGTAGATTTTCCATGATTTTCCCTTAGATCAATCCATTGATAGTTGCCATTTACATTCCAATTTTGAAAGGTGCAGCCCTTGGGTACCCCTAACATCCCAGACTCCCCGCCTAGGACTGTGCATTCCTTCAAGAGGGACGTGGAGAAATTCCGCCGCGACTACGAAGAGTGGGCGCACCTGGGGATTTTGGTCAAAAGCAGCCGGTTGATCATCCTTTTAGTGACTTAGTTGATATTTTTTTGGGGATATAACACAGTGTCAAACAGACCCAACTTGGATTTTTGGGCAATTTTCGATGCAACTCATGTGAAACCAACTTACAGCCAGATCTACCAGTCTCAAGTGATTTCGGGGCCAGTTTCATTTGAACTGGGGCACTTTTTCATTGAAACCCGACGGGAACTGGACGGGTTGTCTTCAAAATATCCTAGCCGAACGCCAAGTTTTAAGGCGTGGACCAATGGTGAAAGGCATTCGCCCACGACAGGCGCAGAGAGCAGGTTTCAAGAATTTGGGGTTCACAGAACCATTTAATGTCAACCCTGGATTAATAAACCCTCAGGCTGTTTAATTGCGGGGTATCATTTGAGGATCAGATTATGACTATTGGGGAAGCAGCCCCCTAATTAATAAACTATGGTTTATTAATCCGGGGTTGACATTGTAAGAGGATATATAGGGAAATATCATGGCCAACCCAAGTGGCTTGTAAAGGTCAAAAGTTAAATGGTTGTTTAGTCATAGTTTATGCCATCCTGCTCCTAGAGGATGCTTTCGTGGCCCTATTGACAGGCCCATTTTTAGGCTGGACTGACTTGATCTGATCAGGTGGAACAAATCATGAACTCCCAAGACGTGAGGTTGAAAGATGGTCCTCTTTGGTGGTATCCTCTGGTTATGACTAACAGTTCGCCATGGTATAGATGGCCCATTTATAGATGATGTACCTATTAAAAATGGTGATTTTCCATGGCTATGTTAAATAACCAGATGGAATCCATTCTTAAAAAAACCTTCATACTTGGGATGATTGGTTGGGATGACCAATATTGTTGGTATGGGTTACGACCACCCGCCAGTGATGTCATTTACCCCCCCCAAAAAAATAGTTCAGGTTTCATGAAAGTTTCATGTTGAGATGTTTCCAAATGGTATACCATTTGATTATTTAACGGTTTGCCATGGAAAGATCCACCATGCTATTAAGTTCGGTAAACCATCTATTTCGATTAGGGCCATCTAGATGGTAGATGGTTTACGAAAAATCACCATGGCGAACTGTTAGTCATAACCCATGACGGATCCATGTAATTATGGTATATATGCTAACATTGTTCTGGGGTATATTTACATATCAATGGCACACCATAGAAAAAGCAGCACCGTTAGGATCCGTCATGGGTACCCTCTGTTAAACTAACATAACTATAGAAAACCACCATTTTTAATGGGAAAATCCACTATAAATGACAATTTTCAATAGCAAACTGTTAGTTTACCAGAGGGTAACCAGGTTGGGTATGGTTTACGAAAAAAAAACACTGGAAGGACGACCAAGTCAGAGCATGCTGCAGCATGCTGCAGCATGCTACAGCGAGGCAGTGGAGAGGCTCAAGTCTGGCACTAAGTCCCACTTGGACGACACTCCTGACCTGCAGGAGACAGGAAGGTGTATACCCTCTGGTTATATGATGGTTATATGATGATTATATCATTCGATATGCTTAAATCAATGTTAAATCAATGTTAAAAACAAAAAACTCTGGTTATGACTAACAGTTTGCTATTGAAAATGGCCATTTATAATGAGTTTTCCCATTAAAAATTGAGATTTTCCATAGTTTCTTGTATGTTTACCAGAGGGTAATAAAACCACAGCCATACAGGGTCTGAGACTAAGATTTTGATGTTTCATCGTTTTTTCGAAGTGTTACTATACACTTGTCAGTCGACGCAATTAAGTGTGGCTCACACAACTCATGATGCGTAAAAAGAAGATCTAAGATGATCTAAGTATATCAGTATATCCAAGTTAGATCGAGAAAAGTCTGCTCGATCCACATTTTAAGCTTTTGGCTCCAAACCTCCCAATCTCGCGCAGAGATATATTGAGAGACTGGGTCAGATGGTGTCTACTGAAATGTGTGGCATCCTTCTGATGATTGCCAGTGGCTTCTGTGTGACCATTGACATGGTGACTAGTCGAAACTTGGCTTTGTGGAAGCTGATTTTTTGGGATGTTTTTTGATGGGAACTCCAGCAAAACTGCGGGAAGTTCTTGTTTTCTTCATGTTGTTTTAGCCCTTCTCCGGCTTAAGATCCATCAGACGAGCCCAGGAATGATTGAAGACTCAGGATGGCCCTATTGGTATCTCGTCTCCGGAACCTGTTTTGTTGCCACTGCAGCCTGTCTCCTCTTCATCTACGTGTCCAAAACTGCCTGGCCAGAATTGAAGGATACCGCATGGTTGGTGGATGTTTTTTTTTTTTGGGGGGGGGGGTGGAATGAAACTGCCTTCTCCCATTTTTGACAAGTTCTGACCATTTTGAAGACGGATTTTTGCTGGATCATTTGGTGTTTTTTTCGAACTTAACTCCTATATGGACAATGCATGAACACCAATCTGAAGAATGATTTGCTCAAACATATGCCGATCCGCATCGATCCGTATTCCCAATTCAAAAAAATTGTCAATTTCTGTCATCTTGTGTAGTTTCTGCCCCGTGCTTTTGGCGCACTACATGACATCAATTTACGTCATATGAATCTAGATAAAGTTGTAGTTTTTTCCTCACCAGAAGTATGTTACAGTATGTTGATGTCATTATGTAGCGCTTCAGGGCAGAACTGCTTTACATCATATTACAACAAGTTTACGTTGGGCTTGCGGTATGTTGATGTTGCTTCTGGGCTAGACCCATTTTCGTGAGTTTGTCAATTCCAGACTTGGTTGAAGAGCACATTTTCAGGAACCCCATTTGATGGTAAGACCATCGTTTCCATCTAGGATCTTTCCCAAGAATCAATCCTTTGAGTGAAGAAAATGGCTGGGGTTGCGAATTTTGCCAATGAATCCAGAAGAGAGTTGGTCAGATAATATGTTTGGAGGTTCCTATATTTGAAGGTTTTTATTCGATGCTTCTCTGCATATTTTAAGTCCCATGTTTGTGTAATTCCACTCACAGATCTGTCAGAGGATATGAAGTGGGTGATTGCACGGTCCCTGTTGGAGTCTTTGCATTGGCATTCCACCATTCTGGCTGTGATCATTGGGGCGGCACCCGGTGATGTTGCCGCGCTCACCAGCTGCTTGGAAGCAGGTGCTGGAGGATGATGTGAAGCTATTTCTGTTTAATATATATATATATATATTGCTTATATTGAAATAGTATAGTATGTTCGGATATGTTTAAACATCATATTTGTGATATCTATGTTTAACTATATATACATTTATATCTACATAGTCTATACATATGTGAAACTATACGTGTATATATATATATATATGTGATAAATAACGTATGTATAGACTATGCAGGTATAGATGCTTAAGATATTACAGTGTAACATATGTGCATTAATATACATGCATATCAACACTGCAGTACATGTAATTATGTATATAAAATATGTATATTGGATCTACAATGTGCATGTATATGCATCTATATGCATATATATATATACATACATATATTATATATTTATTTATTTATCTCGTTGATTCTCTTAGAATTCAACATGATGGAAAAGGGTTTATACCTTGAGTTTGCTTGTCTTTGCAGATGATTGAAGTCCACAACAGACAGATGAAATATGACTTTCCCAGTGGTTTCTCTTTGGATTGTCTTAAAAAAAACGCAGGTGTTTTTCACATGCCTTTTCCGAGGTGTGGACATCATCGCTGCGGCATTTTTTGGGCTCATTTTTCTGGGGGAGACCATCAACTACCTGCATTTCATAGCTCTTTTCCTGTCTGCAGTGGGTGCCGTCTTCATTTCGCAGCCGGAATTCCTCTTTGGATCAGATGGCCATGAAAACCATCTTGGCTCAGTCCTGGCTTTGCTCAGTGGCTTTTTCCAAGCTGCGTCCTTCATTTGTGCACGGAAGTCGCAACACATTTCAGTGGCAGTTTTGACCTTCTTCAGTCTATTCCTGGCGGTTTTCATGTCCTTACTGCCACCTTTGCTTCCCATGGTTCATACCGCAACTGGCTGGCAATGGATGATTTTGGAGGTTTTTTGGGAGCAACCCAATGCTGTAAACCTGGATTTTCTGATCCATTTTGGGGATGGCGGAGTTTTTTTTGTACAACCCATTTCTGGTTTTTCACTGCGGATGGTTTCGGCCTTTGGGTAAAAACCACCTGGCTTTCCGATTTTCCAAGCAACCCGTGACGATTCCAACTAATATATATATATATATACAATGTGAGGCCCCCGTTCGATAGCTAAGTTGGTGCACATAACTCCAATAACTATGGTTTATGGTACTTATAACTATAGTTACTGGGGCTTATAAACCAACTTATAACTGGGGGGCCTCACATTGTATATATATATATGATATTATATATGTACCTCACAATATCATCCAACTTGAGGCCTTGAGGGGTTGAAGATGTTTCAAGCTGCCAAGCTACATGAAGCTAGCACCACTCAGGCAAGTTGGCAGCCAACGGCGGCAGAACCACTGAAAGCAGTAGGTTTGCTACTGATCCTCTTGCTGCTGAGCACCCTATCCATTGCTTTGCCAGCTGCGGGGGGGACCAAATGTCCAGCTGCTGTGAGTGCGACTGTGATTACTTCCTCTTGCATGGTTTCAGGCAGGGCTTTGGGAGATTGGTGTGGCCAATGTTTTCATGTATCCCCCGGTGACATGGCAATTGAAAATCCTCTATAAATGGAGGTTTATAGCTAGGAAAGTCAATATTTTTCATGGAGGATTTGAACATATGCCGTGTTTTTCATTGCCAGAATGTAAAGATAACTAATTACAAAATTGCTTAACTGGTTGGTGGTTTGGAACATGAATCTTATGACTTTCCATATATTGAGAAATTCCATGATCCCAACTGACTTTCAGTCCATCATTTTGCAGAGGGGTGGCGAAAAACCACCAACCAGTATTATTGGCATTATAACAACTATTATTATATAATCATATATAATTAATCCCATTATTGATGATTATCCCATGATAATCCCATTATATAATCCCAACCAGTTAACTATTGTGAGTATTGAACTTCCCAGTTTTGGGATGATTTTGATCCATTTTGATCCATCCAATCCACCCCCACTCTGGGATGTTCAGCCCCATTGCCCATCATCCTCATCGCGTTCGCAGAGATCTTGAGATCCAATTTCCGACTGCGGAGAGTTGAAAACATTGGCGAAACTCTCCACCGAAAACACCAAACTTTAACGGAAACATTCTTTTTTGGCTGATGTTCAAAAAACTCCATAGAGTGACCTCCAAACAAAAGCACACATCCCATAGGGAAACTCTTTTATCAAATCAGCAAGTCATCAGTCCACATGATTTGAATGAGGATATGTGTCTCAAGTGGCTTTCTTCCACGAAGTTCCGGACATTTTGACCCTGATGGGTGCAGCTTCCATGCTGCTGAGTGTGGTTCTCATGGCCTTGCCTTGCCGCGCAGTGAACGAAGTGAAGCAACTGCCGCATCCAGATACGGAGGATGGAGATGCCTCGGTGAGGAGCTTAGCAAGTATGGTCACTTGGACTGGACAGACTTCAATCTGTTGTGATACACTCTGGAAATTACACAAAAAATGTGATTCTACTGGGGATTAATGGATATGAATGGTTTTTAATGGGACGACCATGGGATTATATGGTCATGTATAGATGATTTACCCTTTCAAAAATTGTAGTTTTCCCCATAGCAATGTTAAATGAAATGATGGTATGTGCGACTTGGGCAATCAAACGTGGCTAGCTGGAAAATCTCATCAGTGTAGGGTTGTCAGCTGCATGCAGCTGGGAAAATCCAGTCATGGGCCGATTTTCCAGTCATGTTAGATGACTGGAGGCTATCTCATATTTATCTAGCCATGGTATCTAAGATTGGTTTTCCAAGGGGTTTTTTCAGCCAACAAAAAACCCTAGTTTTCGCCTGTTTTCAGGGTCAGCTGAGTCTGAGATGGCGCTGAGATCTCAGGAATCCCTTGGTTCTTTTGTGGCTTCGGAAGTGTCTTTCCACACCGTTTCTTTGCGACGCCGTTTCTTTGAGAAACCCAGCGTGGCAGGCGTGGCGCCACGCGTGGCAGGCGTGGTTGCGGAGCAGATTGGTGCTGCCCTACCAGTGACCAGCACCTGAGAGCCAGGTTACCAGCTCCAAGATCCAAGGGATGCTCCAAGAACCATGCCATATTTCAAATATTTGGTTCTTTTGCATTGTGATGTTTGGAGCATCTTGAGTTTTAATTATATACATAGTGCCATAGTGCTGATGTTTTTTGGGGTACTCCCATGTCATTGGGATCCCACCGGTGTTTAGAGCTGATTTTTAATTAGCAGAAGTACATGAGCAGTGGCACGAATCTCCTGATCGGGGATTTTCTTCCAGATTTTGGGGACATTTTTTGTGACTTCACGGAACTCATACTCAGAAGATGGATGATTCTAATCCAAAAAAATGGAACAGCAAATGTTCAAAATATCTGACAATAAATTCGTGATGGAGAGACTATATATCTGGTTGGTGGTTTGGAACATGAATCTGTTTTTCCATATATTGGGAACAATGATCCCAACTGACGAAGTCATTTTTTTTAGAGGGGTGGCTCAACCACCAACCAGATATATATAGTTCATTTTACTCTTTTTTGTTCCATAATATGAATGGATAATCCTCCCCATTGACTTTCATATTTTTCAGAGGGGTGGCTCAACCACCAACCAGATATATATACCCATATAGATCCATGCATATATGCTAACATTGGGGGTATATTGATGGTAAATGTTACCATATATAGCATACATGGATCCGATGAGATATATATATATATATACTGTTGTACTCTTTTTGGGGGTTACTCACGAAACGCCAACCGATCCAGGCGGTTCATACCACTGTTCACTGTTCGCCGGGGCTTGGAGATCTGTACAGCATGATGGAGCTACCAGGGCTCCAAGGGTCACGTGTTTGCCAACATGGCAAGGTTCAGGCGGAAAATATGGATCAAGACTATCAAACTCTGGGATTTTGAGGTCATCACCCTAGTTTTCATGGGGAAAATGATGATGAGACAATGATTTTGAGGGGTAATCACCCTATTTTTTGACAAAGACAACATATTTACACAACAGTTGTTCAAACGGAGACAACTGTATTGTCGGCTTTCAAAGTCAACGCCTCGGACCCCCAAAGGAGAAGCAGCAAGTGCCACACAAACGCTGTATGATTTTCTCCAGTACAAAAACCAGAGGGCATGGCTCTTTTCCGTCATGTTCATTGGTCCTCAGGCGGTGCAAGGAGGAATATGAGGCGAGGGCACTGTTGGGAAATATGGCGTGATGTGATCTGCCATTTGTTATGCCTCACCAAGCTTTTTTTGAGGGTTTTTAAATCATGTTTTGCTTCATGTTAGAAGATGATATCAAATATCAATCATAATATAATTAATGATAATATCTATGTAGATCTATTTAGTTTCATTTAATTTAGGTTTCAACTCTTCACCATACTATAGCATACTATAGCAATGTACCTACCCTCCTATAAGCCAAGATTGACATGAAAATCGACCATTGGTCATTTTTCAGGAAAACCATGGATTGCATCATATAGCTTTGCTAGTTTAACCATGCGACAGCTGTGTTGTAGGATGACCTGTGAAAATTGAAGTAGTCCGCAACAGTTGAGACCAACAGTTGTGATCTTAGAATTTACCATCTGAATCATCCATAGATCAAAAACACATTTTTTTCATCACCAACACAAACTGCAACAGTTGGGGTCGAAAACAGCACCAATCGCAACGACGGCTACGTTGGTTTACTGAGGTGCACGATCGCAAACGGCAGATCTTTGGACTGGGCTGGGGAACCCAGTGGGGAACCCATGGGAACCCATAAAAAGGGAGCCGCTTTGGTGAGTGCTGTTGTTTTTGGCGGAATATTACACATATATTATACATACTAAACAGATCTAAACGGCCAATATCAACAACACACCTATTTTTGGGATATCTAAGATTTTCCACGGTTTTTTTATTGACTTTCAGTGGTTGAATCTCAGCATTTGCGGCTGAGGCGAAGACTTGTTCGGCTTGCCTCATCAGAGCTATACCCAACTGGATCAAACGGAGAAGGTCCGGATTCTTCAAGGTTTTCTGAAGATGGGGGTAGCTGGTGTTTTTGTTTGTTTGTTTTTAATGTATAATTATGGTTTCTATTTGGGAAGCAGAGAGTGATTCGGGAATCATCAGATGATCATCACGTCATCAGCTGCGACGTTGTTCAAGGGCAGATTTGTGCCTTGAAACCATGTCTGGAGAATTCTAGCTGCAAACATGAGTTGGGATATGGCCAAAGTTTAAAGCCCAGGAAACCACAGTTTCTGATGGTTTCTGTTTTTTTTCAGACCATCCTGTTTTTGGGGTATCCAACTCGGACACACACACACACACCATTTTTTAAAGAATTGATGGGGAGGAAACGTCCATGTTTGGAGGTATACTTTAAAATATGGTTTTCTGAGGTTATGAATCCCTTCACGTCATTAACAAAACATATTTTTATTGGCTTAAACGTGTTTTAGTCCCAATTTGTGTCCATTTAATGATTTTGTAAATGATTTCCTATCACCATTTTCTCGCTATGGGAATCTACTGGATGGTATCATGATGAAACCACCAACTGTGCCGGCTTGGCCCAGGAGCTAGACTATCTCAGTCAGCTCTATGGGTTGTACACTGCCGTTGGCACCCTCAGTCCATCGGTGCTTGGGGCAGAACATCCTCAGTGATTTTTCCAGATTTTTCCCGCAATTTGACCGGAAATGCTTGCAGGAAAACCACGTGAAAAACATTGAAAAACCAAAGACGGTATTAGAGTGGGAAACAGCCGGGTTTTCTGGTATTCAAATCCCAGATCATTCCATTTCACATCCTTATTGACAGATGTATTAGCCCTCTGGTTATCCAGCGTAACTATGGAACATCGCCCATTTATAGATGATTCATGATATTTCATGATAATTTGACCTTAATTAAAAAGGTATATTTTCCATAGCAAACCGTTAAAAAGTTAAAATCCGTTAAATAACCAGAACGGTACCACTCTCAAGACAACAACTCCAGAAGCATTTTTCAGGTCCTAGAAACGATCGGCCGGTGGAAAGACTACCTCTGGGTGGACGTGAGGGATTCCCAGAGGGCCGTGTTTTGGTGGGTGGTTTTGCTGGTGGTTTCGGATATTTTTGGTGGAACATGGGGATTTTACCTTGGGGTAAACCGGGTAAACCTCGAAAAAATCTGTGGAAAGCCGGGTTCAGCCCAGGAAAACCCCATGGTTTCCTTAGGACAATGATCTAAAAATGGTGGGTTCTCCACATCTTTCTGTATGTTTACAGGAGGGTAACTAGTTTCACCCAACAAAAAAAGCTGGAACACAGGGGGATATCATGGGAAATGCGTGACTGTGATGGGAATTGGATTGGGGGAACTACCCCGACTATCCCATACTATCCCCGAAGTGTTTTTAATTCGGGTGGGTGATTTTGTTATACCCTCTGGTAAACACAAAAAATGCTATTGAAAATGGTCATTTATAGTGAGTTTTCCCATTAAACATTGTGATTTTCCATAGTTTTTTGTATGTTTACCAGAGGGTAATTCGTTCAGGATCATGGGGAAAAACGGCTTTGGTGATCTGGGGTCCCCATAGCGCAGCAGTTCAGTTTACTTCAAGATGTTTTTTTTGGAGTTTTTAATGTGTTGAGGTTTCCTGATATCAATGGCCATGTCAGGAACCGATTGATTGGAGGTACCTACCATATATAAGGACTTTTTTTAAGCCTAAATTTCAGGGAATATCCCAGCGAAATATGGCCTTATATGGTACTAACGTACCTCCATTTTAGGATCCTGAAATTCCCATTGATGATACAACAGTCAAAAGTTGTGCCCTGCAAGTCTTCACTTGCGTAACTCAATCGTTGCGTGTTGCTCCGCGCGGGACTCAAAGACTTAGAGAATCACATGGATGGGAAGTCAAGACAAGTTGTAAGCTCTGGTAAACTAACATAACTGTCGAACATCGCAATTTTTTATGGGTAAATCAACTATAAATGACCATTTTCAATAGCATTTTGTATGTTTACCAGAGGGTAAGCTCCAAACTCTGGAAATAAACATCCCAGAGAGAAGGAGGGAGATCCCACCCCAGTGCTTTCTGCAGATTGGAGAGCAAGTCTTCAGCCAATCTTGACCGCAGGTGCCAGCCCAAATGGAAAGCATGAAGAAGGAGGCACCACGCGACACCGGGGGAGATGGGTGATGAGAAGGGATACAGAGAGATCTTTGAACCCTGCAAAATATGGAAGAAAGAATGGGTTATGGAATCATATTGGATTATAGTTCATGATGCCATGATATTCCATTGAACCCCATTATTCTCCCATTAAATCAACCCTTCGATTTCAATCGCATGAAACTTCATAGTTATACCACCTCCCCCTCCGGCTCAATTCCCCCTAGCTTTCGTCCCTTACCCCTGTGCAGTTATTCGAACTCTGACAACTTGAAAGGGGTCCCCAACTCCACCCATTTCATGGCTCGTTGTTGCTGCGTTAAATCGAGAAAAGTATTATTGAAACATCCGCAATCACAATCCCGCCTGCGGTAGGCAGATCAATTTGCGTTTGGGGCCCAGTCGCACTTCTTGATAGAGTCGGAGGTCATTTCATGTGTCCTTTGGGTCTGTCTGAGACTATAGTGTATACTGTACCCCAAAAAACACTTTGATCTTTCAATTGGGGAAACGATGATTAACGAATGGATGTAGACTGGCCTGCAGTTAAGATAGTCAAATAGCATTATGCAATTTCTGAGCCTTCCATGCTAGCATCAACAAAGAGGAAGTTCGGTTCCATTACCTGTGCTACTGGAAGAAATTTCTGAATCGGTAACTTTGAATGGGCTTAGTCATTATTTAGTTCTGATTATATTATGTTGAATCACCAATCATTTTAAGTATATGCCATGACTTGCCTTTACATGAGGCGAGACAGATCAGCATTGAACTGCATCTCAAACGATTGTGATTGCGATGATCTTTTTGTGAGGGATATTCAGATTGAAGAGGAAATGG